CAGCACTTCCTGCCCTCCCTGTAGCTGTATTGAGTGATCCGTCAGTGTATATGGTCTGTGCAATGTTGTTTTCAGCTTGTATATTGTGAATGTGTTCTATGGTGCTTAATTTAGCAGCAAGCTGAGCATGAGGGTTGCTTGTGATTAGTTTCTTGGTGGGGTATGCAGGGGTCAGGATGTCAAAAGGTACTATCTGCCAGGGTGGAAGGAAGTGCTGTACTCTTTCATCTGTATATACATCGTGCAGTCCCATCATTTTAATATGAGTGGCAGTTCTTTGAATCCATTTAGACTCGCTAGTTCCATTTCGTATGTGTTCTAACAGTGCAACTGACACAATGTTGTTTTTGTTATCACGCAGCAGCTTTAGTCCCATCATAAGATTAATTTCAAATATTCTATCTCGAATGCTAAGTATATTTAATTCTTTCCGCATGTTGAGAACTTTGGTAGTTATAGGACAGCCAAGTATAATTCTGAGTGCTTCATTTTGCATTTTTTCCAGTCTATCAATACTTTTGCCATTCTGCAGGACCAAAGCTGGTGCATGATAGTCTATCAGAGACCTTATATACGCTAAATACATCATTCTTGCTATTCTAATATTAACACCATATTTCGGGCTGTACCCCACTACAGTTCTGAGAGCCTTGAGTCTGTCTCTACATTGTTGATGTAACTTATTGACTGCAGTTGAGGTACAAGGGACAGAGACTCCAAGGTATTTGAAAGAAGAGACATAGTCTATTGGTATGTTGTCTATCTTAAGTTTTCGTGGTCCACTTTTGCGGTTGCCAATTTGTCTGTTAAATACCTTAGTTTTAGCAGCGTTGATTACAAGACCAAGGCTCTCACAAGCTGTATGTATACAATTTAAGACTGTTTGCATTTCGCGGTGGGTTTTAGTATGCACAAGGATGTCATCTGCATAGCTGATAGTGATGTTTGCCGGACTAGTTGGGATTGATTTTAGTAAAGCATTAATTAGAACATTAAACAAGGTAGGACTAAGTACTCCTCCTTGTGGGGTGCCTAGTTGCATTACTTTAGTTTCACTCTTGTAGCCTTGGAACAGTGCAGAGGACTTCCGGTTGGTAAGATAGCCTCGTATCCATTGTAATAAATGTCCCCCTATATCCATTCTCGCTAATTCATACATAATCACTTCCCTATTAGCAATATCAAAAGCATTTTTTAAATCAAGAAATGTTGTGTACTTGTGCCTTTTATCTCCATGAACAGTAAGAAAGGTTGTGATACAGTTGTGTACACTTTTACCATGTGTGAAACCATTGATATCAGGTGACATGTGCTCTTTAACTCTATACAATAATCTATTAAGCACCATTCTCTCAAAGGTTTTGCACATGCAACTGGTCAGTGAGATGGGACGGAAAGCATCAGGTTGTTCAGGCTTTGGTACAGGTACCGTAAGACTGGTGGTCCATGATACAGGCAACTGCCCAGTGACATAGCTGGCATTAAACAATTCTAATAATGGGTTACCGGGTACACGATGTAGGATTCTTAGAATATCATAGGTGATACCGTCCTCACCAGGAGCAGTGCTCCTGCCCCTGGAGAGGGCTGCATCCAATTCATAATCTGTATATGGAACATCACATTCATCATGTTGCTTGCCCAACATGAAATTTATGAGAGCATTTCTGTCTGTGGACTTCTCCCGCAATTTCTCCCTAGTGCTAGCTGGTAACATTCCAAGGCTGGAAACCTGAGCCCATTTTGCAATTAACTGATTGGCTTTCTGTAGCGGGTTTGGGTGTGAAACTTGTCTACTATTTTTCCAATAATTTTGTTTATGCCTTTCCAGGCTTTGCCCAGGGGAGTATGCAGGTTAAGTCCACTAACAAAACCCTCCCATTTATTTTGTCTCAGTTCAGTCATTCTCTCCCTTGCCGCTGCAAGCGCGGCCTGAAACAGTTTTAACATTTGAGGAGTTCTAAGGTTCTTATATGCTTTACCTGTCTGTCTAGCAATTGATTTAAGCTCTTTCAGTTTAGCATCATCATAGTACTGGTTGTGTCTGACCTGTTTACCAGTACTTCTTTTTGTTTGGCGTAACTCACTATTTTTGATGGCCTCATAGGTATTATTTATGAGGTCATCATAAAACTGTTGTACATTCTCAGGCTCATAATTGTTATACCAATGTTCTATGCTGTCTATAAAGAATTTTTCTTGCTCTTTCCTTACTGTTAGCCTGCGTCTACTCAGCTTAGTGCCAGGTAGGTCAACATTAGCCACGTGTATGTTAGCTGTTATGGCTAAATGGTCAGACATTAAGTCATCCATAATATCAGTCTCATGAGTTGTGTATGACAGGTTAAAGCCAATGCACCTATCTAGGACTCCTCCATATATTTGCGTTGGTTGATTCTTACTGATAATTTGAACATCATCATATGCATCGAGAAGTGCCAACAATCTTCTCCCGTTGGTGTTTGTAAGTTGATCCCCTAATTGTTTGTGTTTAGCATTTAAATCCCCAATTAATATTGTAGAATCAGTATGTGCAAAACTAGGTAGGTCAGTATACTGGAAGAGGCCAGCAGGTGCATAGGCATTCAAAACATTAAGTGTAGAGTTACCAACGTGTACCCGGATACCATGATATTGAGACCCCTCTCGTTGTTGGGCGGAGAGTGGCTCATGTGGCAGGGATTTTTTAACATACATAAGACACGTATTTTTTGATCTGGGATTATAACACTGATAACTAGGCAAATTCTGCGGGGTTTTACCTGCGGGAGTTAGGGTTTCCTGGAGGCAGACAATATCTGTGTCTTCAGTCATAACCTTATGATGGAGATCTGAATACCGTTTTCTAAGAGAAGCAATATTCCAACTGAGTATCTTGATGACACTGTACTTGTTCTTATGAGATTCAGAGGCCGCCATTGTTCTTTTGTACTTTATCAGTCTGCAGTTTCAGGAAAGCAAGTATGTCTACATACCGGTTGTAGTGCTTTATTACAGCTTCTTTTTCCTCTTCAGTCAGCACATCACCTGTCACCATTTCTTTAAATGTGTCACGGCGGAACCATCTGGGATGTGGCGTGCGCGGCCCGAGGCGGGCATCCACGTCCAGTTGAACTTCGTCACTATCACTACAAGCGTCACTGGTTTCACTTTGTTCTTTACCACAATCACTTTCAACATTTCCACTACTGTATTCCTTCAAACAGAGTTTATTAGACCCGGTATCAACATCTTGATCGTCATCACCATTAAAGTTCTCACCCTCAGTGTCACTACGTTCATCATCAGGATCAGTTGCGCCATAATACTCATCGACAGCACTATGCGTTTCTACGTGGAATAGTTTACCTCTGTTCATAGCGCACTGTGTTGATGAGGCTGGGGTGTGGGGAGCCGTGGTGGGAGAGCCCAGCTGGTGTGAGGGCTGGGACACCCCCTGCTGGGGTCTCCCCTGGGGTACTGGCCGCATGGGAGCACATGGTGGTACCCCAGGTTGGTGTGGCCTGCACTCAGTTATTAATACTCTCACAGTGTCCTGAAGAGTGGTTATCATCGTCTTTTGGTGCATGAATTCCTTATTTTGTTCGGTTATCTGCTTGGTCAGGTTTTCCACAATTTTGTTTTGTTTTTCTACTGTATGCATAAGCTCACTAATTTTCTGTGCCTGATCCAGGCCCCCCGACCAACATGAATTGGTAGGGCCTACAACTGTGTCACTCGAGCTACTAGCCGTGGCGTTGGAGTGGCTGGGTAAGGGAGGGGAGTGTGACCGAGTGACCGGTGGGGGGCACAGCAAATTTTTCAGGAGTATCCATTCTTCCTGTGTAGGAGATCAATGATCTACCTCTAGGCTGACATTGTCTTGTAGCCAATTAGTTAACACTGTTTTATATTTTATTGGGGGCCGGGCCTTTATGATCTCCCTTAATGGTGATTCCTCCTGATTCTAACTTCTGACTCTACACCATAATAATACTAGATCCCCCATAGCAGCCAACATTTATAACAGTAATCATTCATGTTCATACTTGATGGACTAAGCCTATCATACAGTAAGATAAGGCACCTCAATTTATTTACAATAATATATGTAGTTTAATACTGTAATTTGATTGGCTGCATATATATATATATATCATTTTAATATAAACTCCTCTAATGTGCAAGGAATCGAGTTGTGAGATTATTGCAAAAATACAGTCCACTAACACCATAAAAATTGCTATCGAAAATATAAATTAACGTGTATATAAATTCTATATTCATTCATATAAATCAAATAAATAAAAATCTCACGAGTCGCTTCCCACATATGTGACTAATACTCATATTGTACATGTGACTACTACACATTATATACATGACTAATATATATAATGTAGATGTGACTAATACACATAGTGAGCGCAGGACTAATAATCATTATGATCATGTGATTTATATGTATATGTCACATGAGAGTACAACAGGGACCAGTTAGCGGGGACTGAAGAGCTAGAACCCACTTATCTGGAGAACTAATAGGTAAGATGAGCTAAGTTAGCACTGAACGTTAAGACCAGCTATTTATAAGTAAATCATTTATGAATATCACTGAATTTCGTGAGGAAAGAAATACATTGACAACAGTGAAAATAAAAAAATATTCACCGAAAATGTAGAGAAATATATTTGCGCTTTAATGAAAAGACAGGATCTATGTACTTAAAATATCAGGCTGAGTTTGCAAGATTTTATCTCTGTTACATAAGCAAGCGTGACGGGTGGGTTTACTGTCTCCACGAACCTCTTCCCTCAGGCAGTCAGTGACTCGCTGGCTGTGAGTGGTGGTGAACGTCGTTGTGTCGCTGAGGCTGGCGCTAGGAGGAGACTGTTCACAGCTGTCGTAGAAAGACGAAGACAGACGCTCCAAGACGGGGGATACGACTGTTATAAGTGACGAACGACAGACGGCGCTAATCAAGAGAGAAACGGACGACAACAATACAAACCTGACAAGGATGTTGGCAGAGAGTGTGTTGATAACTGGGTGCAGCCGCGGGCTGGGGCTGGAGATGGTGCGGCAACTGGTCACGTCTGACAGTGCCCCGCGGGTAGTACTGGCTACCTGCAGGAACCCGGACAGTGCCAAGGTAAGGCGCTCTTCCACTTGAGTCACACAGTTCTTCCTTAATTATTGCTACTTGTGATGAATGAAGATGCTGTGCTGCTTCTGAGACGAGTAGATATGATTAGAAAGTTACAAAAGTATGTTAGCGGAACTTTGCAGCATTTTATATATTGTAAAAGTAAATTTAGGGGTTTATGTACTTTCATATTTGCAATAATGGAGTTTGATTAGTTTATAACAAACTTCTTATCCATGAGGGTGGTGGACCCAATACTCATCCTGGGTACGACGAACCTCACATCTATCCTGTGAGAGATCGACCTCACACCGATCCTGTGAGCGATGGACCTCATACCGATCCTTTGAGAGATGGACCTCACACCGATCCTGTGAGCGATGGACCTCACACCTATGCTGTGAGCGATGGACCTCATACCGATCCTTTGAGAGATGGACCTCACACCGATCCTGTGAGCGATGGACCTCACACCTATGCTGTGAGCGATGGACCTCACACCTATCCTGTGAGAGATGGACCTCACACCGATCCTGTGAGAGATGGACCTCACACCGATCCTCTGAGCGATGGACCTCACACCTATCCTGTGAGAGATGGACCTTACACCATTCCTGTAGGCGATAGACCAACTACCAATCCTGTGGGTGGTGGAATCCACTCATGTGGGTGGAGGACCTCATATCCATCCTATGTTCGGTGGACCCATACACATCTTGTGGGTGACAGACCCACTATCCACCATCCTGTACGTGGCAGATTCCATACCTATTCTATGGACAGTGGACACAATACGGATACTGTGAGCTCAGGATCTTGAATCCAATACCGATCCTAAAGGCGGTAGACCCCTCCTTCAGGGTCTTCAGGGAGGGAGATATGGACCACACCCATCCTGTGGGCGGGAGATACCACACCCATCCTGTGGACGGGTGATACCACATCCATCCTGTGGGCAGGTGATACCACACCCATCCTGTGGATGGGTGATACCACACCTATCCTGTGGGCAGGTGATACCACACCCATCCTGTGGACGGGTGATACCACATCCATCCTGTGGGCGGGTGATACCACACCCATCCTGTGGGCGGGTGATACCACACCCATCCTGTGGGCGGGTGATACCACACCCATCCTGTGGGCGGGTGATACCACACCTATCCTGTGGGCAGGTGATACCACACCCATCCTGTGGACGGGTGATACCACACCCATCCTGTGGGCGGGTGATACCACACCCATCCTGTGGGCGGGTGATACCACGCCCATCCCGTGGGCGGGGGATACCACACCCATCCTGTGGGCGGGTGATACCACACCCATCCTGTGGGCGGGTGATACACACCCATCCTGTGGGCGGGTGATACCACACCCATCCTGTGGGCGGGTGATATCACACCCATCCTGTGGGCGGGAGATAACACACCCATCCTGTGGGCGGGTGATACCACACACCCATCCTGTGGGCGGGTGATACCACACCCATCCTGTGGGCGGGTGATACAACATATCCTGACCCATCCTGTGGGCGGGTGATACCACACCCATCCTGTGGGCGGGGGATACACACCCATCCTGTAGGCGGAGGATACGACACCCATCCTGTGGGCGGGGGATATCACACCCATCCTGTGGGCGGGAGATAACACACCCATCCTGTGGGCGGGGGACCACACCCACCTGTGGGCGGGTGATACCCCCATCCTGTGGGCGGGTGATACCACACCCATCCTGTGGGCGGGGGATACCACACCCATCCTGTGGGCGGGTGATACCACACCCATCCTGTGGGCGGGGGATACCACACCCATCCTGTGGGCGGGTGATACCACACCCATCCTGTGGGCGGAGGCCACACCCATCCTGTGGGCGGGGGATACCACACCCATCCTGTGGGCGGGTGATACCACACCCATCCTGTGGGCAGGGGATACCACACCCATCCTGTGGGCGGGTGATACCACACCCATCCTGTGGGCGGGTGATAACACACCCATCCTGTGGGCGGGTGATACCACACCCATCCTGTGGGCGGGTGATACCACACCCATCCTGTGGGCGGGTGATAACACACCCATCCTGTGGGCGGGTGATACCACACCCATCCTGTGGGCGGGTGATATCACACACATCCTGTGGGCGGGTGATACCACCATCCTGTGGGCGGGGATATCACACCCATCCTGTGGGCGGGTGATAACACACCCATCCTGTGGGCGGGTGATACCACACCCATCCTGTGGGCGGGTGATACCACACCCATCCAGATGTCATCTGTTTTAGGATTAAATTTCAGTCCAGTTTTCAGGAAATATTTCAGAGTTCCCATGTTCATAAAATATGTTCATAGGAGTTTGTTAGAGAGTTCGTATAGAGAAAAATAAACTTAATATTTTTTATTTTGTCCTTGCTACGGTCTTAGAGAGTTCTTGTTGTAACACTGTAAAAGTGTTTGGTTTAGTTTAATACATACATAGAGTACATGAGTCACAGACAGGTATTAGAGAAGGCGCCAGTTTGACCACTGGAAAGTCACACGTCTAAGAGTTAATGACCCCAAGTGACCTGAGGTCAGATCATGAGAATTTCACCTTGCTTCCGCTAAGCTTATAATTGTAGTCTGGTAGCCTTCAAACATGCCGACGTTTAAGGAGTGGCTTGGTAGTGCCGGAGGCTATCTACTTGTGGGCGGAGTTAGTACTAGGGTCCCCAATATATACTCGGAGAGCATTAAGCATCAAGAGAACAGCAGACGAGCCAGCAGAGCAGACGGCCCTAGCAGGGAGGCTGCCGGCCGGCAGGGCGGGAGTCTCCGTCAACTACAGACCCCCCCCCCCCCTCTATCCAGCTATAGGCACACACTTGGTGTGTTGAGCAGTAAGGTGACTTGGTCGTGTTTTACAAGTGTTGTGTGAAGATCCAACCCGTTCTCACACAAGACAGCACATATATGACTTAATGCTTAAAGTCAATATGTTGAATATGACTTAGTAAATATGTGATATATTCCCAGTTACTTTTTTTCCAAAACCCAAACTCTTCCTCACGTACCAATTTACGTTTCACAGTACCCGTCCGTCAACCTAGATAGCAGAATAGTCGTGATTGGTTCAATTATAAGGAAAATTGTAGTTTTCAGATCCCACATGGGTTGTGAAATTTACCTACTATTGTCCATGCTCTTAGAATATTACAGATTAGCTACTTCCTATTGAAGGCTCGTAGTTTTGTTTTGAGAAATATTAGTTGTTCTTAGTAAATTATAATAAGCACTAAAAATTATTACATAGAATAACAGTCCTTCGTCAATCAATATTAATACCATAGTTTGTGCTTTACAAATCTTTAAAGGATGTTTTGTAGGAACGCTAACAGAAAACGATGTTACGTTGGAATGTCTATGGGGTAAACTACTGCAAACAGGGTATTATTGTGTCTACTATACCAACTATAGCTAGGATGGGTATATTGTCCACTACCACCTGTTAAGTGGGTAAGGGGTCCAATACCACCCACAGGATGGGTATGAGGGTCACATCCACCCACAGGATGAGTATGGGGACCACATCCACCCACAGGAAGGGTATGGGGTCCAATACCACCCACAGGATGAGTATGGCGTCCACTACAACCCACAGGATGGGTATGGGGCTCCAACCACCCATAGAATGGGTATGGGGTCCAATAACACCCACTGGATGTGCATGGCGTCCATTGTCGCGTGTCGAGCTCGAAAACCGCAGCATTCATCTCAGAACCATGCCTATTTCACGCAGATTTCTTAATAAACGTAAGAGTTTTATATGTCACAAGAAAGATAGAAATATAAGCTTCATTCTAAATACCTTACCATGGGTATATTTAAATTTAAAGCGAAGATACGTGTATTTTTATAATAGCCGAGCTCCGACCCCGGACAGATCGATCGACCGAGCAACTCTTTATTTATTTATTTATTTATGTATGCATATACAAGAATGTACATTGGGAATGTGAGGATACATAATATGGTAATTACAGTCTTGTAAAGCCACTAGTACGTGCAGCGTTTCGGGCAGGTCCTTAATCTAAGAAAATTTTAAGAAGGTAAATGCTTGCAAAATTTATAGACAAAAAAATGATAACAGTTACGTGGAATGAAAAAAATAAAATGAGAGAACATTGTAGGTACAGCATATTAAAGCACATAGGTAGCTAAGATTGATTGCAATGACAGCTTGAATGGTAGTTGACAAAAATTGGTAGGCACAATACAGCAGAAACAATATAAGATTGATTGCAATGACAGCTTGAATGGTAGTTGACAAAAATTGGTAGTCACAATCCAGCATATGGCTAGCACATAAAAGAAGACAGCAATGAACACAATGATAAGGTTGTTTGATACTACATAAAAATTAGGAGATTGGGTAACACTAGGTACAGAGCAAATTTAAAGCTCAGTGTAGGAAAGTAAGAAGATGAAATTAGGTACTTTTTGGTTTTGCTTTTAAATAAGGCAAAAGTTTTACAGTTTTTCAATTCACTAGGGAGTGAGTTCCATAGACTAGGTCCCTTAATTTGCATAGAGTGTTTACACAGATTAAGTTTGACCCTGGGGATATCAAAGAGATATTTATTTCTGGTGTGGTGATAATGGGTCCTATTACATCTGTCCAGGGAGAGTTTCAGAGCATGGTCTGCATTAAGAACAGGATTTTGTAAGCGTAGTTGACACAAGAGAATGTGTGGAGGGAGTTAATATTTAGCAAGTTTAGGGATTTAAACAAGGGAGCTGAGTGTTGTCTGAAAGCAGAGTTAATTATTATTCTGATAGCAGATTTTTGCTGTGTGATGATGGGCTTAAGGTGGTTTGCAGTGGTAGACCCCCATGCACAGATACCATAATTAAGATAGGGGTAGATTAGGGCATAATATAGTGAGAGGAGAGCAGAGTTAGGAACATAATATCTGATTTTGGAGAGTATACCAACTGTCTTAGAGACTTTCTTAGTTATGTGTTGAATGTGGGTGCTGTAGTTGAGTCTCTTGTCTAGGAATAGGCCAAGAAACTTGCCATCATTTTTATTACTGATGTTAATGTTGTCTATCTGTAGCTGAATTGCATTTGATGATTTGCTTTCTCTCAGAACAATGTTTATTTCACGTGAATTCGTTAATAAACATATATGTTTTATATGTCTCAAGAAAGGCAGACATATAAACTTCACTTTAAACACTTTACCATAGACATATTTAAAGTTCTAATGAAGATACATGTATTTTAAAAATTACGGAGCTCCCACCCCGTACAGACTGAACGACAGAGCAACTCTCTCTCATATCAATGTTTATTTCACGTAAATTCGTTAATAAACACAAATGTTTTATATGTCTTAAGCAAGATAGAAATAAGAGCTCCATTTTAAATACATTACAATAGACATATTTATAGCTCAAGTGAAGATACATATGTTTTATAGTAACGCTCAGTAGCTTGTCGGGCATGGAGTGCAGACGCCTACGCACTTGCCGATATATTGTATAATTAACAAAGATACGCTAATAAAGCCTAAAATCTTATATGCCTCCAGAAAGACCGAGATA